GGAAAGTGTATTTACCAGCGAGATCAGGGGCGAAGCTCCCTGGGAGACAACTGGATTTTTTCAGAAAGAAGGAATGTTTTTTTTTTTCTTGGATGCTAGAAGAGGTTGTGTAAAATACAGCTTCCTCAGCCTAGTGCTGTACACCTCATCCCTCTCCACAGCCTGTCACCAGACTGAATCTGCCGACACACTGCTGTCTCCAGCACTGACCTCCGATCTCCAGCTATTTCAGCTCCAGCTGTCTGTTTTCTCTTTGCTAGACAGTCATCTGGCTTGCATGAGATTTTTGATTTTGAATTCAGCCCCCTAATTCTTTTTCAACCACATTTTGTCTTTGTTTCGCAGGGAAAAATTGTTGAGCAAAGTCTGGAGTTTGTGCGTGGTAGATAAATTACAGCGAAACCTTGCCAACAAACCTGAAATATCATTTTTGACGTGTTCCGTCTCCCCCAAATACAGTTTCTGGTGTGACCATAAATATTTGATACAATTAGATTTTTTTTCAATGGGCTTAGACAGATACATATTCGCACAAAAGCCTTTTACAGGGAAGGGTAAATTTTCATTATTATAACTGGAAACGTATCAATGTGTAAGTAACACCATCTGAGAAAATCACATATAATACTCAATATTCATTCCGAGTTATTTTAAGTTCACATTTGCTCCCAAGATGAAGTGCTGTATAGATAAAGTGGTTCTTTGGTATTTTAACTATTGTCTCAGCACACAGTGACACTGTCTGATAAGAATTATAATTGCTATAGTTCTTAGGAAAATGGATGAAAGCAAGACCTAAAATATCCCCATGGCTTCTTGTGGCTGCCGTTTCTCAGTCCTGACTCCGAAAACAGCACTGTGCTCAAATCTTTTTCATCAGTCAAAAGCCCATCAATCTTATCGGTCGCCATTGTCAGTCCCAGTCTTGAGGAACGTGCGCTGACGTTGAAGAAGCAGCTTATGAAAAGGATTTAGGTGTTCATGTATTCTGCAGAAAGCCCCAGCTTTCAGCCCAAGCACGGCCAACTTGAAGAGCAGAAGACAGCAGGCAGTCCAGGCCAGCGCACTGCTCAGACAGCAGGGCTCAGATCCGTCAAAGCAATGCAAGAAACACACACAGTGACAGAACTGGGGAAACACCTGAACCTCTGTCCCGCTGGGGAATTTTCAAGAGAATCTGGGATTGTTTTTCAGTGCAGGACCGAGACATGGTGCTGCCATACAATCATAACCTTTCAGTGCTAATTCACGCGTTTGCCATGCCTGCAGCTCCTCGCCACACGAACACACAGAGCAGCAATCATAACACGCCCACTCCTGCGCACCGGGGAATCGGGCACTGCCATCTCAACACTGCATATGCACGGCAGCTCGATCCTCGCGCCAGCTCGCGCCCCAGCAGAAAGACAGCACAGGTGCCAACGAGGCAGAACGAGCCGGCTGCAGTTTTACTTTCCAGGGCTAAATACGCTCAACCCTAGTCAGTCATAACTGCACTCTGTGGGCTCTTTCATCCGCTTGGAATGCACAGCTAAAGAGAATTAAGTTCCAGTGAATGGCAAATTAATTTAATTACGCAAGAATACGGCACCGGTGCCATGCAAATGGTGGTGACTTAGGGATTTGCTGTGTCGTGGTGCTCCAGCTGTCTCTCTCTCTCTCTCTCTCTCTGAGGGATAGGGAGTCTGCAAGCTGGAGTGCACAGTCACTGGTTCTTAACCTGAAGGCAACAGACAGTGTCAAATCGAGAGAGAGTGAGAGAGAATAGAGGGAGAGGAATGCCATCTGTCTGGTGCCGCAAAGGTGAAAAATAGGCGGGCGCCATTTTAGGAATGAGCCCACCGCCTGGTATGACGCAGCATCGCCATTTTGAAGGAAACAGCGCGCGCACCTCCGCCGCGCCAGCCTGAGCGACAGTCACGGCCACTCCCACCCCCTCCCATCCCTGCCCACCTGCTGTTTCGTTCGCCTGTGGTATGCACACCGCACGGAGCAGGACTGTGCTGGAATTCAAGCACTTGCCTGGGAAATGTATTGCGTTGTTAGGAAGCTGTCCGCCAGGATGGAGAAAACCCGATTGTGCGTGCCGGACAGGTCATGAGAGGCAGAACAGACAACCGATTGACTAAATGTCATCTTTTAGAGCAGGGCCATCTTCCTCCAGACTTCTACGACTTCGCTGAATGCACCAGGCAGGGCAATCGGAGGGGAATCCTGCTGGATACAGTAATTAAGCCAGGGCTCCCCGACTGGCTCCTGCAGCACCCGGGAGTCTGCTGGTGTGAACCAGAACCCACAGCAGTGTCCCGGAGCTCTCGCCCTCATGCTGCAGAGGCTGTAGTGCCACAGGCCTGCCCCGGATTAAGTAAAACATGTAATTTGACCAGGGGGGTACCCAAACATTTGCATGCAACTGAATACGCTGCAGTACAATACTACACTGAGTCATGGGCTTGTCCTTTTGGTCAGTCCAGCCAGTGTCACCAGTAGGCTCTTTCAGTAACAGGATTATTGCAATTCAGCTCCAAGCTCACGACTCGACCTGCTGTAAGTAACCCAAAACCTGAAGGACCTAACGCAGAAGACTCTGTTTCAAAGCCTGCATGTCTCTCAGGAGACGAGGAGAGTGGCAGGGGTACATGTTGTTAGAAGTACTCTCCAGCAGTGAAAATACCTTTAATGTTACACCCTGATCTCATTAAGCAGAAAAATAGTGTTTGAAGTATTTTTCCCCGTAATAAGATTTGAATCAATAACATGTCTGTATTTTAATATTTAACAACAAACAAAAACAGCGCTCAGCAAAAGCAACATGCCTGGTGCATTATCTCATGAAAGGGATGTTTGTGAAGAGCTGCTTACTGTAGGTCAGTTCCCTCCTTAAGAGTTACCTGCTAATTATATTCTGCTAATGCTGTTAATTACAGTGCTCCTGCTGATGAGGACATGAATCCCCAGAGTTTTTCTGGCAGCAGTAAATTGCTTTTATCATTTGATGAAATCCCTAAGAGGAACCACAAGAGAACCAGGGCCCTGTTTGTTAAAGCACATGGAGTTGTTTTTCTGGTGTGCACACATGCATTAGCGTTAGAAAAAAGGTTCAAGATGGGAGTTGTGTCAGAAAGTGTTGGCTGCAGAAGAACTAGTAAAATTTAATTCCCCACTGGACTCTGTAGCTTTTGCTCTTAAAATGAAAAATATCACAATAATCAATTACTGACTGAATCACTCCCTGCCGGAGTGCCTTCTCTGAAGGGACAGTGTTTTTCTTTAAAAACAGCACTGATATCTTTTTTTTGGTTCTTCAAACCCTTCCAAGGAGACTGAATCAGAGTGTACGCTAACGCAAACCAGTAGACAACCTAATAAACAGCTTCATGATCAACAGAAGAGTGAGGAATTCCAGTCCTCACTTAAATCGTTTAGAGGCCCCGATACCGGGCCTCTGCCTGAACCGGGTCCCACTGCTTAATAACACACGAGCGCTTCAAGACATGAAACTGGCCAGGGCAGCCTAAAGGGCTGTTTGAGTGATTGATTGATTTATTAGTTCATTTGTCGGGAACACAGAACATTTTAATTTATTCTTTATGAGGATGGAGTAGGCGGCTTGGAATGTGGTTAATGAATTGCTGAGTCCATTGAAAGAAAGCAAAAAAACAACACCACATCCAGTCGGCGAGGCAGGGCAATTATATTCCTTTGTAATTGTGGTGACTAAATGGACACTTGTGTTATTCTGATCAAATCTTATTTTTATACAAAAATATTTTGACCGTGCCTATAAACAGACCGTATCAACGTTTTTTTTTTCCCTCTAACCAAAACGATTTCAGGAGATTTTGACTTTCTGGTTGACTGATAGCGAAAGAAGGGGGACGGAGGGGGTGGGTGTTTTTTTCCCAGCACCGAAAGTGAGAAACAAGATCTGAACAGTTTATAAGCCTCCAGAATGAACAGTGAAACACGAAGCAGAGGGCGCAAGGGGAAACTGCAGGTAAGTGCGGTTTCAAACCGAGATCAGGAGACGCTTCTTTACCCAAACAAGTGGGGTGGGAGTGTGGATCCAGCCGCCCAGCTTCCAAAAATCCAGTTGTAAGAGGTCACTGGAAAGGACCCATTTTGTTTCTGACCTTTATGGGTTTTTTTCAGAATTTCTCATTCTTCAAAAATAAAATGAAATTGGAGGGACTCCCAGCTTTTGATATCGCCAACACCAACAGGGCACAGCAAGAGAGCACAGACACTAAAGCATCTTCACAGATCGCCATTCTCCTCCCAGTTAATTGTGTTTTTTTTAAACAGTTTACCTCCAGAATATAATGAGAGCGTGTCTCCCTCCCCTAGCGAGAATACCTCGACATTAAGAAAGGGTAAGCACTCCGTCTAAAGTCGTTGCGCGGGACGGGAAGACTAGACGCCGAATCGTTTCCCATCTCCACAAGAGCACAGGGAAAAAGTCAGGAGAGCGGGGGCCTTCACACTGGAAAACCTGCCCTTCGCCCCTCCTCCAGTGTAGAAAAAGTGTGTCCTGTCCCCAGGTCCAGACGGCGTTCAAAGCGCATCGCCTTTATCTCTAGTTGAAAGAACGAGTAAGAAACGACGAGAGAGGTTCAGCTCCCTTTCCGTGTGCTGGCGCCCCCCAGTGGCACATAGGCACACGTCAGACCGCGAGTCTGCAGGCCTGACGGGGCGCCTCTTCGAACATCTCGTCCTTCCTGGCAAATATGTGCTGCCCTGACTCGGGAATGACAACAAAAGGCCCCTGAGTGCCGTTTCTCCACTCCAATAAAAATATTTCATCTCTTCCTTTAAAACTGCATGAGCACCTCCTCCACACGCAGGAATGTGCCCGTGAAACCAGCAATAAAAACGGAGAAGGAGCAGTCCGGAGTCTCGGGGAACTGCGATCTGAGCTGGGAAAGGAAAGTAAGAGTGAAGATGGGACAGGGGGCACAGACCACAGACTCCATTCAAAGACCAAACACTTCACCTTTCTGGTAAGTATAAATACTATTTTATTTTTTTCGTTTTTTTTTTTACTCAATTATATATATTTGTTTCTCTTTAGAGCAGAAAGAATGTATTTGGTTTATATAAGGCACAGAGAAGGAAAGAAATTAACATTTGTGTTCCCTGCTTTCTCCCTCCCGCAGATAAACATTACAGAAACAAAAATGTGACAAGTACTGTAAGTCCTAAAGGTACATACTGCACAAAACAACTGCCATATAGTAGCTAGTTTTCTGCAAAAAAGGTCCAAAACGCAAAAGAAACTTAAAATGAAAAAAGCTGCTCCACACTGCTTTGCTTTCTGTCAGTGCAGATGTGTCGTTTCCCACTTCACCCCCAGAGTGCTCACCGAGGCCCCACACGACACAAACCGGGCTTCTGCTTCCAGGTTTTTTTTTTTATTTTAAACTTTACACTTCTCTCTCCTGTCAGTTCACCCATTAAACCTCCCCCACTCTCACCCAGGCAACAGGTTTCCGTCCAGGTCAGCGGTATCACCACAGGCCTTGTTCAGAAAGCCCAGAGTGTGCTCCAGCAATCTGCGTTTTTATACATCTCTCTGAGCAAAAAATAAAACTGATGGCAAACTGCTTACAAACTCAATTATCTGTCACCACTCACGTCTCCAGTTTCCTAAATTGTCTAAGGGGTTTTTCAGTTTCATTCTCTTTACAGGATGTAAGCCTCTAAAAAACAACGACAAAAACACCACTTGTCAAAGCACGTCTGTGCTTTCTGAGGGCCTACGCTGGCGCACTCCCACGGACCGGGTCACAGAAAAGTGTCACACCCCCCCTCCATCTCTCACTCTGCCGCTGGGACAGTTTCACCCACACAACCCCGGTCAGGTTCCCCGAGGAAAAACTGAACACTGGAAAAAAACACACGTACTAAATGACAAAAAACACAAAGCAAAGCTGGATGCTGGAAATTGCGGAAGATGCGCAGCGGTCCTCTCCACTTTTATTTCACCTTCCCATTCCTTCAACCTCGACACGTCGTGAAGGCAGTCTGCCCAGAAACACCCCAACAAGGAAAAACTGTCCATAACTGAGCACTGGCTTTGATATTCAGTCAGGTGACCAAGCACAGAAGTTAAGCATCCTCCTTTGTTTGTTTTTTTTACGTCACGTATTGTTTGTGTTTTGGAGTTGGTGGGAGGGGGCAGTTCGGAGTGTGTTGGCATGTGGATGCAAGTAGGCTGCCCTCCAATCAGGACGGACAGGGGTCAAAGGTCGGAGGTCGGGGGGTCAGGGGTCGGGGTCGCTGCTGGGAAGGCGTTCACATCTCGTTGGAGGAGACGTCGTGCTCGCTGACCCCATTGGCCTGCATGTTGCTCTCATTCAGCCGCCTGACTCGGTACACCTCGTAGTGGATACTACTGGTGATGTCCTTGATGTTCTGCATGTGTGTCCTGAAGGACAGAAAAGACAGGAAGGAGGCAGACGGGAGACGCCATTAGGCCCTGCTCTGCTGAAACAAGCACACCAGGTGGAATACAGCTCAAGTAACTAGCCAACTAGTTAATTACTCATTATGATAAATAACTTCGTTTAGAACGGCAGCGCTGGACAAGGGGCTTGTTTGGCATCTTAACAGCTGCCTGAAACCTGTCGTGTCCTAGAGCTCTTTTTTTGCCTTTTAATCGAATTGTTCTCAAGAAATGTAATTCATTGTGTGGTGAGCTAAACCACGAACAATCACATTAGGGACACATAACACGATCGCAGCACCAAAGTAACCCAATTGTCTGTACTTCTGCTACAATAACATAAGCTGCATGCCAGACATGTTGAGATCTCCCCGCCCCTAGTAACAAAACCTTAAACTGTCTTTACAGGTATAAAAGGAGAAAAAACACAAACCTTATGAGCAGGTCCCGCAGATAGGCGAACTCACAGTGAGCAATGTTCTCAACTGCAAAGCATATTAAAGAGAAAACCTTAATGACGAGAAATTTTATTTCCTATGATGTATATACGGCTTATAAGAAAATTCTGTATAAATTGCCATATTAAGAGTTCCTAAAGGAGTGCAGCTGTATAGGATTGCAGACAGACTGGGCTGACTCATTACCTGACATTTTCTTGCTTATTAATGAAAACACAAGTGAGTCTTCAAAGATCATGTATTGACAGCTATTTTGATCAAATACTGTTTCAGGATTGGGCTTATATCTGAAAACTATAATGCAGTTCGTATTACAGGTTCCCCTTCAACCCTCAAGATTCCACAGGTGTGGAAGAGTTTCGACCATTTTAACAAAACATTTTGCTCAACCATCCTGCTCTTGGCTGGGATAAAAAACAGTCACACATCACCCTTCCAGAACCAGGTCAGGCCCCCCTGAGAAAACTACTTTCCTAATTAGTAAAAAAGAAAATGTTCACGTCTTTATTAATACCACATCATGAACTAGATTGTGGCTGTCTGGGACTAGTATTGATTGGCCTTTTCAGAACACTATCTTGAGGTGAGCTCAGTCTGGGATCCTGTACTGCTCCTTGTTACGATGTAACAAACTGAGGTGCTGGTTGCCCTAAAGTACTACACCAGAGAGGACTGGAAGAGCCACGTGTCACATAGCCGATCTTCCAACGAGCGAAGGTTTTCCTGTCCTGCCTTTCACGGACACTAGGGGGCAGTGGCGTAACACGCGACCGAGCGAGGAACACGTGACATCCCCAGCGGAGAGCGATGGCTTCCCTGCAGATAAAACATCACGCAGGCAACTCCCGAGTAATTCAATATATTCAAACCCTTTTCCAAACAGATAAGTTTGACAGCTTGACAAATTCTGTGTGACAAGCGTGCGGGAGCTCCACAGGAAGGAAGGCCTGTATACATTATAGATTATGTCAGCCTGCAGATGAAAACGGTATTTACGCGACTTCAAACCTTCGAGCAGGAAATTAAATTCTATAGTAGACAGTCTGCAGCCAGCGGAGGGGATTTCGGGTGAGTTAGCCTCCGTCTGTGTCAAACCTGATCTGATGCAGGGGACTGGTGGTGCCCGTCAACTGCAGATGCACAAGCCTAAGCAACCAGCGGAAGGTCTATGACCCTTTTTCTGTGGGTGGCGATGAGGAAGGAGGAGTGAAATACACGGAGACGCTGTGCATCGTATATACAGGAGATACATGCACGAGACTGTATACTGTACAGGAGGGACTGGGCAGGACTGCCTAGGCTGGTGGTGGCACAATGATGAATGCTCAAGGCTGGCCGGTGGACTGCGAGCTCATCACGAGAACGTGCTGTGCAGCTTGAGGGGTACGACAGCGGCCTTGTGGGAACTGGAGAAAAGAATGCAGCCCAGAGTGGGGGGGGGACAACTCTTTTGTTGACTGTATTCATTGCGGTAGTGCATCCATGGGTCACTGCCTCCTCTCCCCTGTATTCTGGCTGTGTGGGCAAAATGCAGTCATTGTGCTCCCCAGGGGAACGTCTGTAGCTCCCCCCCGCCCAGCGTCTCGTCCCTCTCCACTTCACTCATCCCGAGCAGACAAACACGAGGCGCAGGACAGGAAAGAAGAAAAGGACGACCGGTCCCAGCGCAGGGTCTGCTGGGAGGAGCTTGTCCGCACGGCGTCTGGGCGCGGCCGGGCGGAGCTGCAGGGGTGCTCTTGCAGTGGGCCGCCCTCACACTCCTAAACCGCCTACTTCTCCTTCCCACTTCCTTTTTCCCCCACCCAACGCTCCGTCCCGGCACATGTGGCCCCACTACGAAGGATCAGGGTCTAACTCTGTGATCTTCCCGCGTCGTGGCTGCAAAGTCAGTTCACTGCAGTGACCCCCCCCAGCACCAACAGCCAAATCCCCCAGATTCTGGCTGAAATTACAGCCGAGAAAGTCTCAAAGCCATCGCAAACAAGAGCCATCCAAAGCCCAGCTGCTGACACGCGACACAGTCCACAAGTCAATAAAACATTTAGGCCCCTTTCAACACAGACAAAATAAACCCAACAGCAAGCAAACAGAGCATCTTAATGATCTGTGTCCCTTTGATGAACTAATGCGAATGTTAGATCTGTCAGTTACAACTTTGGATACTCCTTGACTTAACTGCAGCTAAAATTCCTGATGTTGGCTTGTTATGGCAGAAGTTAAATGACCACACTGCTGGTCAGTCTCCGTGTGATGCGTGTTGGCAGTCATTATTTTAACACTTCCCCGTTTGGAAAAAGAAGCACGGTTTAACAAGGCTACCTTCTATGGTGCCCCACTTTGTCTTCCTTCCCAGAAGTCTCCTCCCGTTGACCTGGTATTCCTGGTCGCTCCCCACCACGGCAAAGGGAATCATCTCCTGCGATCGGAGCAGAGCGAGCGCAGTGAGCCGAGCGAGAGGCTGGAATTCATTACCGACTGAGTCAATTAAAACAGACCCGATTCCAAATAGAAAAACAGATCCGATCCGTGCTCGCACACATTTCCAACTACAAAGCGAAATATTTCATAAAACATTTACAATAATAACTTCCATCAGTCTCCCTCTAAAACAAAGAGGCTTCATTTCACAGAGGCAGATGTCTTTTTTTGGGGGAGGGCAACACTGTGCTTACTGTTAGCATGCAGTGTCCTGGACAGTAAGTCGCTACTTGGGAGTTTCAGATCTGCATAACAAAATGAACGAGCCCCCTTGGTTACCAGGGGTTTCAGGCGCCCTTCGCAGTATTCCTCACCGACTTCAACTAGACAATGCAACAGCACCCATTTTGGTTTCAAATGCAAAACTGCAATTCTGTTTTCGATTGTTTGCACCTTTTCTCATTTAGAAAGGAGGCCGGGGCTGGAATTTTGAACTTCAAGTGCTGCTGCGTCCCACCCAATTGGAATACAAAGTGACTGTTGCTCAAGCCGGTATTCTCCTGTCTAGAATACTGAACTCGGAAGCGTCAGGTGAAGCTCTGCAAGGTTGCCCGAGTCCTGCACAGGGAGCGGTGCCTCAGCCCGCTCATGGTACTCACTCTGATCTTCTCGTTCACCATCCTGTCTTCTGCATCCTCATCAAACTCTTTCTGAGGGTACACGTCAATCCCGTTGGCTCGGAGCTCTTCTCTGATCTGCACGAACAAACGAAATCCACAACAGTGCTTAGTCATGTGAACGTTTTCCATGCCCAGACAGGAAAGTGACCAGCATTCTTCGAGGGCACGTCGCCATAGGGCCATAACATGGGCCAAATGAATCATGTGCTGTATATGAACTTATTTGAATGGTAATGGCCCAATATCCTAAGAAGGGATATTCCCAATGAAGTAATGCCTGGACAGTTCTTTAAATAATCCTCATACTCGGCACAAAACACATCATCACACAAAGCTCAGCCTGCACTGCCACTACAGGAACAGCTCGCCCACAGTCCAGACCCCAAGCTCCACACGGAGCTGTCCCTGCAGCAGGACTCAAGTCGGAGCTGAGGAAGTAAGAAAGTGAGGAATCTGGCTGTGGCAGAGAGAGGAGGGACAACCCCAGAGTCAAGTAAACAGCACGATAAATCCAGTCTCAGGAGAAGGGAGTGGGCAGTATGGGGAGCTCCCGTCCAAGTCTTGCACACACTCACACACTGCCTTCTTTTTACACCAACTCCCCGGGAACATGTTGTTTCTCGACAACATCCTCCTCTTAGAATGTGACAGTGCTGGTTGTTTTGTTTTTTTTATAAGAGATTAAGGCACAAAATAATTACAGGGAAGGGGGGGGATGTTTACCAGTCTGATCCGTTGAAAGACTGATGAGAATAGCTCCTTCGGTTATCAACGGGAAAGACACCCAAGAAAACAACCAAGATAGCTCCAGTATTTGAAACGGAGTATGAGTGAAAACATGTAGTTCGCAGGCTCCACACAAGCTCTCCTACACTGAAATATATTACTATCATCAAATATGTGTGCTTTGTAGTAGAATGCACTAAGAGCAAACGATCTACAATTACACTACTATTATGCAAGCCGACAAATGTGTTAAATTAGTGTTTGGCTCTTGCACTGATTGGTATGATAATGTGGGAGCACAGATCTGCCAAAGAATTTCGCTGGCTTGCAGGGATTGGAGGAGCCATGCAGCACAGGAAGTGATGTCATCAAGCTGCACCGCAGCCACATCAGCAAGGAAAAGATAGTAAGCAGCAGAGAGGCTCTGACACCACAGGGACTTTCAAAACAACTTTTATCCATTCTACGGCTGTGCAGAGTGAAACCACCACAAGCCAGCCAGCCAGCGATATGCCACAGCTTTCTTGTTTCACCCTATTTGGGACTTTTACCTTTTCTAAGCAAACTATCCTTTTTATACATTTGGAAAAATGGAATAGTAGCCAAACTGTCCCAGAATGTTTCCTGGTGAACCTGAACTGTACCAAATAAGTTGTCTTGCATTCCCAAATACAAGAGATGCAAGTCTTATATGCCTGCTTTCAGCTCTGCTCAGAAAAGTCCAGGAAGTGTCTGGATTTCAAGGATTGGGAGTTTTTACAGTCAGCAGGCACAGCAGTGAGAGGAGAAACTGCAGCCTTTTAATGACACTTGCTTGAACTCGTATATCCACTTTCTATCCGATTCAGAACATCATTTGTGCAGAATAACCCTCTGAAACTAGAGCATGCCATGCGACCGAAACCCTCACAGGGGACGATGTCACCCACTACTGACCCATCGCTCAGTTTTGGTTGGTACACTGCAGCAGGTTGGTTCAAGTCCCACAGCAACGTGAATTTTTTCACAAGACTCATGGCTCTCAGCAGGCTCACACTGCGATTCTGGGTAGTACAGGGTAAGGAGAAACTGCAGCCAGATGGTTGTCAGTCTGTCTTTCATTGGAAGAACTCCTTCTTTCAGCGAGAACGTCCGAACGTTTGCTAGGGAGAATTTACCATAACTTTCCTGGCCTTTTACTTTATTTTACCCTGTTGTTTCCTAAGGCTCTAAGACAGCATTGTGGTGCATTACTACGCTTGAAAATAACAAGTCTTGCTATTCCACAACAAATGTTTCTGAGCGCTGTTTACTTAATCGTGAGTAACTTATGGTCCGCTTACAAAAAACCGCCTTCGGAAAATTTAAAGGAAGTGGTCAACTCCACAAAATAAACTTTCATAAGAGAGTTAATGCTGAATTTTCACCTCAAGATATTTTTTTTTGCAGAGTCATAGCCAAGACATTCTACTTCAAGCATAAAAAAGTCAACAATTAGTAACCATCTGTTACAAATGCTCATTGCATCTCATAGCTGTTTTATAGGAAGTTGGAAACCAGCACGTTTGGTGTTTTTTTTTGCCGGCAGCATCGCGCTTAAAAGTGCTCACCTTCTGTTTGAAGAAATCCCTCTCTTCTAGTGTCAGAGTGTCTGCCTTGGCGATGACAGGGACGATGTTGACCACTTTGCTGAGTCGCCTCATGAACTCCACGTCTAGGGGCCGGAGGCTGGAACAGAGAACGACATCTCCCATCAGGACAGCTGCCCCACAAGGAAGAGTCCCAGATCATAATTCCAGAAAAATGCAATTTCTGCAGCATTCAGTAATCATTGAAATGATGATGAAAAATACCCCCAAAAATAATACAACTAATTTTTAATACGGGCAATGAAATAAACTTGTTCTCAGGCTATTCTATATCACCACCACAAGAGGGCAGTAAGAAACGTGCAAAACTTCACGCAATTTGGATTTAATCCCTTATATTGATTTACAGTTACTGTTATGCGATTGGCTAAATAGTAACTCAAGTTAATCAGACAGTTTCAGTCTGGCTGTTAAGACAGCAGAGTAATCACTAGAGACAAGAGAAGCACTGACGGGTCTGTGCGATTGTTTCAGGCTTCAATATTTGAAACTGCCTTGTAGACCAAATACTTTAGCAGAAAACATAAAGCATGCAGGTGTAATCTAATCTCCTGGTGATGGTAGAGGAAGATCTCAGCCTGCTTCCTGTGTCACAGCTCTCAGTACAAGTGCTAATTGTTTATTATTAGCCACCTATGACCTTGTCTGATGCACTGCAGATGACTACCAGCTCTCTGTTTTTACAAAGTTCATTTTGCAAATTCCAGTCGAGAAGCAAATTCTCAGCCCAAGCCTACACATTCACTTCCTTTTAAATCTTTTTCTTTTTCAGGGGAAATGATTAATCATCTTTAAAACCATTTCTGCCTGCACTGTGGAGTTTAATCCTTCGGACCCTTTCTGATGTCGAATGGCCAATGTCAGGGGTCTCCAACAGCTGCAGAGGAGCTCGCCAGGCCCCGAGACCCACATCTGCACTGCTGGACAGGCATGAACTGCTCTTCTCACAGAAAGGAACACACACCTCCGCACACACGCTCCCTCGCTTCTCAGTGAAAAGGTTAAAAGAGGGTTCGTGAGCGTTTCAGATGTCTCTCAGCCTCCTGCGCAGTCCTGGAGACGCTGCAGGCTGGGCGAGCATGTGACAGGACCCAAGCATCTCCCAACACACGCGCAGTACGAAGTACAAACCACAGGACAAAGAGCCTAACTTTTCCAAAAGTTACTAACAGGTTTGTTAAATGGCCAATTTGTGTACAATGATGCCCAGATAAAAATATACATAAAGAAATAAAGAATGCTCAAAAAAGTCTACTATTGTGACTAAGTACACAAACCTAACTATAACTATTCCAAGCTCGGACCTACTGTTCATTTCTGTTATTTTAACTGTGTGTCTGTAGTGCCACTACCCTTTACTGTCCCTTTTATCCCATACAGAAGAAATTGTAAATGAGAGCAGGCCACACACCACATTTTATCTTAAGGCTCATTATTAGTTACAATAAAAAAAATCTATGACAATTGAAGAAACAACAGAGGAAACACCTTCACTTTCCCAACTTAAACATTCTCTTCAAAAGGGCAACTTTTCCAAGTACCACCAAGGAAATGTTAGTGAAAGTCCCTACAGAAAAGCAGCAGGGAGTCTGGGGCCATTTCTTCCAGCATGATGCGTGATCCCTGGATTAAAACCTGCCTGGTTTTGGATGTAGACTCAATGAGCACCAGAGCTGCTCAGAGTAGGGTAATGATTCATTCACTAGGCAGTATAATGCAGTAATATATGCCACAGGTATTCTGTTTATTTACAAATTCCTGCTTTTATGACAAACCCTGGGAAAAAAAAACAGTGTTGGCTACACAGTATTGTTGTAGTAAATGGTTTCAGATCTCTCAGTCCAGCAGCGTAAGAGGAAATGGAGACCAAGAAAGTGGTCTTGAGGTCTTCCCATGAGGAAGAAATCTGACAATTCATTCTACCTGGTTCACCCTCAGGGATTCTCTTCACAAAACCTCCAGTAACATTTTCACAGGGAAACGAAACAGCACCCTGAAGAGCTCAAGGGCCTGGAGCCAAACTGGACAGTGAGCTGACCACGTCATCGCAGAAAGGGGGGGGTCAGTCTGAGAAAGATTTGGGGGTGTTGTATGCATTTGGCAGCTCCTTTCTCTGCTTTACAGAGTCATGAGCTGGGAAGGTGGGCAGTCCTTAAAGAACTGTCTGGAGTTTGCATGTTAAACGCTCTCTGAAGGACTCAAATCTGGGAGGGGGCAGGAGATTCTCACAGGCTGCCCCCAGAATGAGTCACAACCCTTTATCGTGGTACAATAAAACCAGTGAGCCTTGAACTGAACTCTTGCTGAAAACCCCAGCAAGGAGAAACCAGCTTCCTGTGCAGACTACTTCCATTCCCAGCTGAAGAGCCCACAGGGAACAGGTGCTCCCTCCTGCTTCCAGTAGGTGGCGCCGGTCACAGGCCTTGGCCCACGGTCCGAGCACCCACCCGTGTCGCCGTGTGGAGAGGATCTAAAAACCGATGTCACGGCCCAGGCAGACAAAGACAGATTTGTTGGGCAGCTCTTGTCCTCTCCTGTCCTCATATACCAAGCGCACAGCCCAGACACAAGCGCCAGCGGTACCCCCCTCCCTCTCCCGGCTTGAAACAAACCATTTTTGGCATGGAAACAAGTGGGTAACTGACAACACTGTAGATACGAGAAGAAGATGCTCCCTCACTGGCGGCTTACAGTCACGGCACAAGCAGAGCAGTGCGACGGCACACTCCTCTGCACTTCGCTCACGGAGGCTGGGAGAAACCGGCAGTCTAAAAAAAAGCACCAGCCTGCCTTCGTGCTGCTCGCACACCTCACGAGGGCAGCTGGGCAAGGAGGAGACCAGACAAGCAGCAGGGGCCGTCATCAGCCAGAAGATTTCTAGACAGAAAAACCTCCCGCTCTGACAAATAGAAGGAAGACGTGTACAGTGCACCATCTTCCAGCACCGATTTTAAATATAAGAGACGCCCCCCAGAGAGAAACCCAGGAGGGGGTAGGCACCCCAAGGACACTCGGCTTGAAATCTGGGTCTAGTGGCCAAGTAAGAGTTAAAGAAAAGGAGCTGAAGATAATGTAGAAAATCAGATCCAGATGTTCACACAGGAGGAGAGAGAGAGAAACTCTTTGCAGTCATAAGGAAGCACAACATTCCGAGGCTAAACGGGGCCGTGTCGTTTTCCAGTCACTTTTTTCCAGGAAAAACTATTGTTGCAAGACGTCTGCAGAAAACAACTAAGGGCTGACTGGCGTGGTCACACAATCGCCTCAACGCCTGTGTTCGCCAGCTCATGCCCACCTCAATCGCCAGGCACAGCTGCTCAGCTTTCTCCCGATTTCTAAGGGCATCGCCTCAAAAAAACAGCCTCGCACTTTTCTGCCACATAAGCAAGTGTTCTCCTCTCCCACTTGCATCAGAAATGCGGCAGTGAACCGCTTTACGGCACATGCGTCACTAGTGTGCACTGAACACGGTCTGCGCTTTTCACTGAAAGCTACGGCTTGCAGCAAGTCTGAAAGGATTCCATGAACTAGATTGACGACAGAAGCTGGAAAAACGGCCAGTTGATCGCTCAAGGTAAATTCACATGCAACATACACGGCAAGATCACGCTCGACAGGAAGCACATTTTAGCCATTAAACGGGGAACCTGTTTTTTGGATGGGTTAGGATTAGGATTTTGTCCAACTGCACACTGGCGGGAGAGAGGGGGGCAATAAAATATTAATCGGTAACGGGAGTCAAAACCCTCTTTGGTACGCTGCGCTGTTTATGATGATCCACAACTGCCTGCAGCTCTCCTACCCCATCACCTGGGAGTCGAGCTCCAGACTCAACAGACAGCCCAATCCAGCTCACCAGTGCTGCCCCCTCCAGTTCAAGCATCAGGCCCAAACTGGTTTCAGGCTCGAAAAAACCCTGCATAAGCGGCTTTTGAAAGGGAAATTAGGCATTAACTGTCAAGCAATAACATGGAGACAAAACACACTCCGGACGTAATTTAATTTGAATGCAGCCGAACGGAGGACTCAAACTGTCAAACTCTTGATTTTCCACTAGCGCTCATTCCCGGCCACGGTGAATTCCTATAGACCTGTGGGATTAACTTCCTCCCCTGTTCTGAAGCCAGCGCCTGGAAAAACAAAAGCTTATTTAATACGGCGCTCCGCCCCCGCCAGCGAGCAGCGCAGTCTGCCGAGCGGCTCCATGAATCTTCATGAAGGCAGCGCCCCCGTCAAGCGGCTGGAAGGTGACGGGAGTGAGGAGCAGTGCGCACTGGGAAGGCCCAGCCAGATGTCACTGGCTCCTGCGCAGGTGTGTGCGTGGGCCTGCTAGCCGCGACCACAGGCACGCACAGCGTCCAGAGATCTCCCCGCGCGGATCTGCCGGGACCGTCGGAGCAGCTCCTCCGCGGCGTCACGCCGCGGTCAGCTCAGCCACAGCTCCACAGAGGTTCGAGTGGGGAGCTAGAAGGCTGCTCAACACCCGAAAACGTCGTATTACCTCTCTATACTGTTCAGCGTGGAACTAACCTTTCCTTGTTCCAAGCTACTGTATATGCATACAAAGACAAAAACACACACGAACTACACACAAACGCCAGGAACGAAGTTAGAAACAACGCCTCTTTGCTTTTGGCGGTTGCTCGGCTTCCAGCAGTTTTATCGATTCGGCTGGATCTGGCAGAACTGTGGCACAGCAGTACACAGTCTGGACTCACGGCTGGGAGGTTGTGGGTTCAAATCCTGGCTGAGGTCTGAACTCGGATCATTCCAGTAAAGGATCCGTCTGGACACAAGGGTAAAGTACTTGCTTTGCATAAAAGCATCAGACAAACAGATTAGTGATAAATCCAGGGTGCAAATCTTAACAGCCTTTTCTGTCTTTAGACAGAGGTCTTTTGTCCTTAGAAGCCATTTAGTTCCAGATCAGACAGGGGATTATTCCATCTTGGCTGTACATTAATAAAACAGTTTACTTACACATACCCACTCAGCATACAGTATGTTTTCCAGGTGGTGAGCTGTGGGTGGTTTAAAGTTTCCTATAGAAAGGTGGATTGCATGGAGCCCCCTGCTCTGTGTTAGTTTGCGCGGGTACTCACGAGTGTCCCGTTGGCGGAATGAAGTATATACAGCAGTGCACCCTGGAGTCGGGGATCCGCTTCTTCCTGTTGATGTTGATCTCCTCCTGCAGGTACTTCTCGTACTGGTCGTTGATGAACTTCATGATGGGCTGCCAGCTTCAGGACAGACAAGAGAACAAGCCCGTTCACAGGCAGCAGCCACAGCAGATAACTATAAAGCAGCATCCACTGCAGCTCAAGATCTCAGCTGGACATCATATGATGTCATCAGACATCATCTGACCCCAGGCTTCCCTCTCTGTGTGACTGGGCCTCATGGAGAGCAAGCTGGGGTATGCGAAAAGACAAATTCCTAATGCAAGAAATTGTATATGGCCAATAAAGTGATCTTATCTCATACCACATGGGTGAGAAGGCCAGATTCAGGCACTGAAACACTTTCACCTCTAGGGTGCGACAGCAACAGGAGGGATTCTAGCATCAGTGCAGGAGGCTCATCTTACCAGTTCTCGTTGTTGATCTGGTCCCCGAAGCCTGGAGTGTCGATTACCGTCAGCTTCATCCTCACACCCTTCTCCTCAATGTCTGGAAGGGATAATAATAATTATAATAATAATAATAATTGCTTACACTTATATAGTGCTTTTCTGGACACTCCACTCAAAGCGCTTTACAGGTAATGGGGATCCCCTCCACCAACCCCCGTGTGCAGCCCCACCTAGGTGATCCGACGGAAGCCATAGTGCGCCAGAACGCTTACCACACACCAGCTCTCAGTGGGGAGGAGAGCAGAGTGATGAAGCTAGTTCAGAGATGGGGATTATTAGGAGGCCATGATTGGTAAAGGCCAGGGGGAAATCTGGCCAGGACGCCGGGGTTACACCTTTTCGAGAAACGGCCTAGGATTTTTAATGACCACAGAGAGTCAGGACCTCGGTTTTACGTCTCATCCGAAGGACGGCGCCTCTTTACAGTGTAGTGTCCCTGTCACTGTACTGGGGCATTAGGACCCACACGGACTGCAGGGTGAGCGCCCCCTACTGGCCCCACTAACACCTCCCATCCAGGTACTGGCCAGGCTCACACCTGCTGAGCCTCAGTGGGCTGCCAGCTGTGAGTTGCAGAGTGATACGGCTGCTGGGGTGAGGGATGAGGAGAAGAACCCAGGAGGAACAAAGGGAGACCAGGGCAGGTGCTTTTGAAACACAGTCGAGGAGGGACTCCTCCATGCAAAGGGCTGCTGGAGTCTAGAACAAGCTGCACGGCCAGGTTGTCGAGGCCGATACTCTAAATGACTTCTTTAAAGAAAAGGCTGGATGAGATCCTTGCGTTCATCAGCTTCCAGCAAACAAATAATAATCACTAGATGCACTCTCCTTAAAGCTCCTGGCTTTCCCCAGAAAACTATCTGAACAATATTCTGAGGCACATTTCACACAAAAACACAGGATACAAGACGGCAAGAGAAAATAATTCCAGATAATTAAGCTCCACAAAGATAGAGAATCTAACTGAAGCTGCTTGTCAGGCTGTGCTAATACAGACCTAGCAAGTGGCTGAGAGTTGTACCGTTTCATACATCAAACTATCGACATGTCCACTTCAATACCTACATAAACTGCATATATGCATTTGAAAAAGTCTAATTTAAAAGGAACCTTCTAAATTACAGAAAGAGGTTTATAACGTTTAACAGGAGCAACTTTAAGCCTGTGCCCTGAGGGGGAGCAGCTGAGCTGGAACAGACCAAGGCGCAGAACGTGCTCGGAGGCGCAGACCCCAGTGCTCACCGTGACTGATGGACTTGATCTCGATGGTCTGGGGGATCCTCTCCTCGGCGGTGGCCAGGACAGACCTGCGGCTCACCTTAGACTTGAAGAGGGTGTTCATCAGGGTGGACTTGCCCAGGCCGCTCTGTCCTGGGCGAGGAAAACGCAAAGCCATGGTGAGCTACAGTGCCAGAAGGACCTACAGGACCCAGATCCCCAGGGAGTTCGTACAGCTGCTCGACTTGTCCGTCAGTCTCACTGAGGGACCTGCAGCATTGCAGCTGATCAGATTGTTGAAATGAAGAAGGTTTTGCTGTGGAACGTTACAGAAAGAGTTGTAAATCCCAGGCAGTACGTACGGACCCCCCCCTGCACCCTCACTCAGTCCTTCCCCACGCTCCTCATCATGGTACAGCTCTTTCAGACTTTCCCAGGGAAGGCTGTCGAAGGCACGCACGAGGCAAGAGAGAAAAGTCCTCGTCTTTTAAGCCGCTTTTCAGGAAGGATTCTTGTTTGCAAGTCCTGTATGCCATCGCTGCATGCCTGAGAGCAGGAGGGTGAGTGAAGCTCTTGGGGGGGGGGTCACACTGGTCACACCCCAGAGGGCAGAGTGCCCATGCCCGTCCCCCGAGTCAGACCCGCACAAAGAGACGCCGTTTCCCCGGCCAGGGAGTGCTGGGGTCCTCCTCCCCAACCGCACCCCTCAGCTGCTGACAGGGGCTGCTCAGCAGTTGGACAGAGGGCTCCCCCAGCATCCGCTCGCGCAGTTCAATCCCAGACACCACCGAGAGCAGTGCCCCGGCAACAGGCAGTCATCAACATCCAGCTTCCGCACACAGAAATAATAAGGATTTATTGCACTGATATTGCACTGCTCATCCCATAAGGTCCCAAAGCACGTTACACTAGGAAGGGAATCTCTCCATCCCACACGGAAGAGCAGTCCCCACCGGGGTGAGTCACTCGGCCTCTCGGCACCTGCAGTGGACCAGCAGGGCAGGTGGCGAAGTCAGAAACTGCTTGGCTTGTTGAATTAAGGGGGATCTTGGGAAAGCCAGATGGTTCAAGCCCAGAGTGGAATTTAGCCAAGACACTGGGGTTAACAGCCCTACTCTTACAATTGCTGCCAGGAGACCTTCAAAGATCAACTAGTCAGGACCTTAAGGTCCGTAGCGCAGCACCTCCTGCAGTGCAATGCATTACTGGTTATGAGCGCCACCTACTGGTCCACTAACACCAATGCCTGATCTTCCTCAGAGGTGTGCCATCCCAGAACACATCAGGCAAACTCGGCTTAGCTTCAAACTAGTAACATCACTGTTTGGCAATACCAAGATAAAACAATGATTAAACCATTTAGTCCTCCTGTGTAAACTTCATACTCCTCTCTCATCCAGAGAATTATTGAATTATTATACATCAGTACTGCATGTAGTTTTCTGCAGGTATGAGGGTTCTTTATCATTCCTTCAGCAGCTGTGGATCTCCAGGGAGTTTTGTATTGTGTTGCGTCTTGCCTATAAAAGCAGTACTGGCAATGATAAAAAAAAAAACACATGCTAGTTAGCTATAAGCGATCTGCAGGCTTCAGCAGGCCCAGTTGGGGGTTCTGAGCTCCATAGTTTGGATCTGTAGAGGGCTTTTAGTACACGGAAGCAACAGGAGAGGCAGAGACAGCTACACTAAGAAAAGCCCTCCTGTCTGTTTACAGTCGAGCTAGAGCAGAACGCGCCCTTTCAAAAGTAATGGTGCTACGGTGCTCATATAATAAATCCCCAATGAAACTCCCTGCCTTATAGGGCAAACAGCTTTTAGTGTAGCCTTATAAAGGCACCAGCTGTTACTTCTCAAGCAATGCTACGAAGCCCAGACTCCATTACAACCCATTAGGGCCACAGAGGTCACAGCTGGATAATACCAGTTTCAAAGATATAGCCCCTGCTACAGCAACCCCAGGAGAACGTTACCTTGCTGCACAATTGAGCAAGCGGACACCAAGAGGCTACAACTCTTTTTTTGCTGTGGAAACCAACCCCACACATCTATACCCTGACACAACCATGGCCAGACGTTTACAGATGTGCAGGGGATACGAATGACAAAGATCTGCCAGAAAAGAGGTCCTGATTTAGTCACATCTCCACAGAGTTACATGGAAAAGCGGATATATTGTACTTACATACGTGTGTATTTCACTCAAAATTACCAATCCAGTTCTTGCTGTGTAAGTAATATGTATACCCCACATGTGCCAATTTTAGAACTTGCCCTATGATTATTAGGTATTCCACTCTATGATTTTGTTGTGCCTTTGACCTGAATTCATAAGGAAGACACATACTGTAGAACACAAAGCACTTTCCTTTGAATTGTTTTCTAAGACACTGCTGACTGTTGACAGTGTTCAGTATCCAAGGTGCTATATTCGTAAACACAATCTAGAAATGTAAATGATACTGACGGTATAAATCTTTGAATGTCCCAGCACTGGCCTAACCCAAACTATTCCTATGCTCATCGAACCTGAAAATTAACACTAATCTAAACCCAAGTTCCAGAGCCCAAGTTTCAGCTTGACCTTCCTTCTAGTTTAATATTAAAAACGATCCCAAATGCTAATCCTACACCAGATCCAAAACCTCCAACATGGCAGACACAGCACACCCAGAGGAAGGAAAGGAGACCAGAAGCCATGAGTAGAGGCCTAAACCACGGATCAGGAAAGCACCCTTTAGGTGACAGACATCTCCTCCTTGGCTTGCTGCAGTTGGAGGAGACTACAGGAGCAGGCAGTGGACAGGCTCCCTGAGGGAGTGTCTGGCGCTGTGGAACTACATCCCAAGATCCTCCGGGCAAGGCGACTGGTCTTCTGACCATTAGACCACTATGCATCCTAAAACCGTAAAGACTAACAATATGGTAAACCATATCAGTCACACTTCGCACTCCATAAAAAGAGGTGGCTGGATGAATTGGTAGGCTTATAAGAAGTTTTCATATCCTTCAACTCCTACAGCTGTGAAGTCTGATGTCAGGGATTCACAGATCTTGGGTTACGTCCAGGTTCAGACCAAACTGAGTTTTACCATAATTGTTTTTGCATTATCACAGCTGCTGCGTGCCTCAGTTTATTTTTATGAATTTTTTTTAGCGCCCGTTTTGAGTTCTGCAGAGTATACGAAAGGCTGCCAAAGAATTTAGATCATCATGCAAATCTAAAAGGCGTGTAATTTGACACTGCATGTTTGCACGAATTTTGGTAGAAACGTTTTGTAGAAAACATCCTGTCTTACAACTCAAAATGGCCACTTCCTGGGTAAGCAGTATCAGCTCAACTTTAAAAATATTTCACTACTTTAGAGGTAGTGTTTTTAAAAAAAAAAACATTTTAAAGAACTAATCAACTATTTTGACATATGTTATTACCAATAGAAATTCTCTAAACTATGGTACTGTGCACACTGTTCTATTTTTTTCAATCTACTGAAACAGTAGCCATTTTGCTTCAAGATAAAAGGAAATCCTGACAGATTTGTGTTTTAAGGTATTTAGCCTTACGTGTGTGTGTGTAGAGAGAAACCAGTGATGTTAATGACAAGGAACAGCTTTTAGAAAATGAGATCTGACCCGTGAACACAACAGATCAGTTGCTCATGTGAAGATTGACCTGAAGTACTACGATCAGGTTTTTGATTGATGCAAATTAAATTATACAGTAGGTGACTGTGTGCAGTGAGAGAGCTGGCGAGCCTGTAAGTATGTGTTGTGCTGAGAAAAAAAAACATCTATGCAAGATTTTAGATGGAGACCCAGTTTCACTCAGAACTTTGACCCATTTGCCAATGAAAAAAATCTGGAATCTGATACCGGGGGGGGGGGGGGGGCTGGTTTCTGTTTGCCTGTGGGCTCTTGAGCCCTTCCAGTTGGAAGCTGTCATCCATCACAAGGCTTGTAACTTTGCAATTGGCAGGAGGTTCTAGAGTCATCAAAGAGAACGCTAAAAAAAAAATATTTTTCTCTTGACAAAAATCTTCAAAGAGCTCCCTTTTCGTCTGCAGCAGAAAGCAGCCTGGCCTGTAATTCCCGGCGACTGTCCTGATTTACGACGGTCTGGGACGGGGCTGGCGCACTGCTGGAACTCACCCACGACCATGATGTTCAGCTCGAAGCCCTGCTTCATGGCCTTCCTCCTCATCTGCTCCAGGATGGCATCGATGCCCACGTAGCTGAAGTCCGCACCTGGCTTCTCGCTGCGCACTGGGGGGGTCGGCCTAGCGCCAGCGTCTCTGGAGGGGTCTGCCATGGTGCCTGTGTAGCTGGGAACGACCTCTGACCCTACTGAGAAAGACATGCCCAAAGGGAGTCAATACCGAGCCGTACATTTTTTGAAGCAGAAAGTCGGATTTAAGTGTACCAAAAAGTAATTTAAAATTAGTACAATTGCATAAAACACCCTTTTTCAAAGACAAGACATGAACTCTATAACTCTGAACACACTTGCTTATACTGATGCATTCAGCACAGGTACAGTAGCAGGATCCACTAAGCGCAGAGGATTGCTTCTACATACCTCTGAGAACTGAAACATAACCAGTAACAAAACCTGCAAAAGGAAGCGTTCGATTTACAAATGGGAAGAAGCAATCAAAGAAAACAAAGCTTTTAAAACCCTGAACTGATTTAATTTTACAAGAAAGCCACGGGCAGGCTGGGATCTGAATGATTGTAATGTCAGTAAGGAGAAAAGAAACTATCTTGCTAAGGTGCTAAGGCACATGACGAGAGCTTCACCATGACTTCCTTTTCAAACGTGTGTGGAGGTACAAACGGGTGCTCTCAGCTAGCAGTTCACAATCCCAATTCCCTCAGAAAAACAGCTGGAGAAACAGGGGTTCTGTAAACCAGGCCTGGCACAGAACCAGCTGAGACACACCACAACTAGTGATAAAGCAGACAAAACACCAGATTAAAAAAAACAGGATTTACATTTGGTGTTTGATATGTTTCAAGCGTTATCTGATTTATTGTCAACACATATACTCGGCTTCAAAACAGCATGCTATGCCTCTTTACCTTTTTTAAAAAGAAATGCAAAACAAAAATCAGAAGAACAGAGTGCAGTAGGCGATAAGATTTTTCAAGCCTGGCTTTTTAAAAACTTACCTGCCCGCAATAACCTTGAGTCTTATCAGACTTAAACAAACAGTCTTGTGTTTATGTGGGAAAGCCTCAGCCCTTGAGGAATGAGGGCAGGACTGATAAGCAGGACCCTGTCTGGAAAGCTCCTAGACCAAGCACAGCGATCTCCTGCCGCAGAGCAGCACAACAGCTACAACACTTCACAGACAGCGGCCTGCTTCACTGGATAGGCATGAGCGATTATACTGGTATGCACTATCTGCTACAGCTGTGTTATCTGCCCTACATTCTACTTTTTTTTTTCCACGAGTTGTTGACAAGAATCTATAAGCGTGTCACCTCATTTTCAGTTCTGGTGCGAAGGAGAACTGCGATTTTGCATTTGAGTTCAACGAGCTATGAAAACACGAGGAGGAAAGTCGAAAAGACACTTCAACAAAGGCCTGAAGGCAATCAAAACGGGCTGCATACACGACGCCTAAAGAGGCGCAGAGCAGATGTACCAGCAACAGACCTACAGGTGGACTGAGATCCTAATCATAACACTGACCAAAAAAAACAGAGAAGCGAAGCTCAGGGGTTATACACCCACGTCTTCCCGATCTGTGTGGTCAGATTTCTGCGACAACCCACTCCGAGAAAACAGGTGGCCTTTAAAATCACTGGGATGATCAGATCATGGATCTGTCGATGACGCTACGAAAGCAGAGTCCGTCCTGGCCAGTCTATTGAGATGACCCGATTTCCGAGTCCACAGCAGGTCACAGGTCACAGCAGGTTTTGCAAGCAGGTCGTGAATCGCTGCTTACAAAAATGTTCTACTCTTTCAGAAGACTGCTATAACACAAGGAAGAACAAAGACACACATCTCTATGCGGAGAAGGCTTGGGCCCTGCTGCACCCTCGTTGGCGAATCGGTAAAGGGGTCCCGAGCTACAAGTTTGCACCAGCGCCGCCGTGGAGGTCTCCGGCGCGTGTGGACAGCGCCGCAGCTCCGCCTGCGCTCGCACGATGCGCGGCTGCCGAGAAAGCAGGAAGCCAGGAGGCGGGCTAGAGATAAGCATCTGAACACGAGCTCAAAACATCATCCACTCTACGCGAACTGAACAAACTGCCACGGTTTTCACTTTGACCCGGTGGTTTTGCCAATTGCCATGTAGTTTCCAGTTCTAACGTTTAGGCAGCTCCTTGTGAACAAGCGGACACATGAGTATTTGTACAGCTCAGGTGCACAAAATAATTCAACATTTCCTAAACAAGACTAGACGACATGTTTTTTGGAGAAAATGTTAGATTCAATAATTCATTCATTATACATAAACGATGCCGAATGTCTATTCTTTTCAAGTCCTAGAGAAACATTTTATAGGTTTACAGTGACTCTACTCAAATGATATCCCATTTATTTCCATGTTCTATATCCATGGGAAAACATTTCAACAAACCACACTTTATAAAGCCTGTAAAAACAAAAGAAGCAGAGTAATTCACAGCTGATCTCCAGAGATTTTTATTTTAAAATGATCAAGGCGCCCACAAGGCTTTGATGGAACAAACTCTACTGAAACTCTACTGTTGAGAACGCAGATAATATTTTGAAAGCATTGTCTCTAGCCTACAGGCATTCATGGCCCATTTAAAACTTCAAACCTCTGTTTATTTTTAATGCAACATTAACGTTAAGCTTTTGTGCAAATGTTTCGCTGCACATCATTTCACGTAATCACACTGTGCCAGATTCACTGAAAGCTGAACCTGCACCTATCGCCTCGCTCATTACAGTGCGGTGCAGATTTCAATAGATTTAACTCAGAGGGCCACGGTCCAGATGAATTTTAATCATCAGCATTGTTTATGGTATAGCTGGCCTGGATCAGCCAATAGACAGGGGCGCTTTGACTGATTTAGATCACTGGTTCTTAACCTGGGGGGTGCACACAGCCCCCTGGGGGGGCTAGACTGCCAGATTTTTTTAGAAAATAAATCATAGAAAATGCAACTTACTTCACTGAATTTGGATAAGGGGTGTGAGAACGCAGGCGGCAGTAAAGGTTAAGAACCACTGGCCTGGGTTATTAACATTCACCCACAGTCCCAATAGCCAGAGGCCCTCAGAAAGATAAAGGGAGGCGAGAAGCCAGGTAGCTGATCCATCAAGATAAGCCATGAAAGTTCATAACCCCGAACAATTAACACACAAAGACCAGAGCTGTGAGCTTACCAACGGCACAAAACTGCCGAGAGGAGCCTGAGCTCTGGGAGAGGAAAGACCCCCCACCTCTGCTGGCTGCAGGGCTCTCATGCAGCTGTCCTGTCATGTGTGTGCTTTCCTTCGCTGCACACACGCCGAGACGTTACCGTTCTGATGACGACACTCCTCTTTCAACCCCTGCACCCGCTGAACAGTTTTCATTTCCGCCAGTGCGGCTCCGCCATTGCTGCTGGTCCTGGGAAAGGGCACTCCCTCATCCCATTCCGGCCCTATCCCGTGCACCCCCCTTTTCCCCAGCGGGGGCTTGAGCACAAGGGCGTCGGCCTACCTGCCGGCCCCACCCTCATTTCCTCCTGTTCTCCTGGATCGAAACGCCAGCTTGCCTTCGGAAAAGCATCGCCGACGCACGATCCGCACGGCCTCACGCGTCTTTAGAAAGTCCGGCTCACAGAGAGACCTAGCAACGCCCGCTGTGTGCCCGGGCCAGAGCCCAGGCCCAGCAAGCACAGCTCCGCGGAGGAGGCCTCAGGAATCGCTTGACGCTTGTCCAGACCCCCACAGCCTTACCAAGCTGGCAAGGCGGCGGGAATCTAGAACTGCTAGCGGGGGAGAACGCAGTCTCCCGTTTCCAGACTGCGAGTGTGGACAGGACAGGTTAAGGCACGTGGGAGCCCTGTTTTTCCTTGGTCCCAGTTCCCTTTTGGGCAGGTTCCCACAACCGTATTTTATTTTCCCTGTTTGACAACTTTACTAATCGGAGATCGGTTTTAGTCCGGTGTTTCTCCAAGTCAAACCGTTGACAGTGAAAACCCCACTGAAAAGCCAGATACAGTCATAATCACCCCCTGCTTTCCCTGCTGGGCAACAGGAAGGGCCTTGGAGGTAAGTGCGATTCAACCAAATCCTGACAAAGTAGATTTTAAATTAGCGATTTGCTAGAAAAGCTTTGCACGTAAACCAAAAAAGCATTCAAAAATCTAAACGGAAAAAAGATTTAATAGACTGATTTCTAATCAACTGTAATTATACTTAAGAAGTTTTGCAAGGCTCATAAGCATAGTATTGTTTGCTTTGCTGTTAACATCTGTGGCCAGGCTCTCACTGCCTTCGTATGGCAGTGGTATTTGATTAACTTTAATTACAATTTTAAAAAAATCCTTAACCTCGTTTCAAATTCTGAACCAACTGACGAGAGAGAGCTGAACAAAGCACGTGCTGTATCCAAAGACGAGCACTGAATACTACAAACTTCCACCAGTTACAATCCTAAAACGCAGTTGTTAATAAACAAAAGTTGTGATTAAACAGATAATATGAATTTCGCCGCTTCAAAAACAGACTTTTATCATTCGAAAAGTAACAGACTAGAAAATGAAAATGAAAAACGTTACATGCTTCTCTTACAAATTAGCATGCACTGCTTGGCATCTGCACAGGACAGTACAGGTGGTTTAGTAGATGGGGAAGAAAACTGCAAACATCTCTTTAGCTTTAACTGTGTTTTTGGTGAGCAATAGAAGCAAGCGCATTTTCCAAAGCCTTTCATCAAGCAGAAACTCAAATATCAAAATACTCTCCCCCCCCTCCATTTAGTGCTTTGAAAGTGCCAAATTATTCTGTTATTTTTAATTCGTACTATTATTTAAGACAAAGCGTTGAATCAGAAAAATCCGGAGCTCACCTCACCTCTGTGCTCATGGGCAGCGGTGTCTGCCTCTAGACTCTCGTCAGTTGCTAGAGATGAGTTGGAGAGCAACTCAAATTCCACCACAGGAAGAGAAAGCAGATGAACATGCCAAACAGTAACCACTTCACAGCTTTCAAACTGCGCAGGCCTTCTTCTTGCTTTTTTAAAAGGCTTCTTCTAGCTTCAAGGAGGTCGCTTTACAAAACACCCAACACTTACTGAAAGTCAGCTTCCCCTCGTTTTGAAGTTTTAAAGTAAAAACGCAATTACAAAACAAAGACAGAATATCACTTCAGATCA